AAACTACTAATATTTTCATAATACTAATAACAAATATATGGCTGATATCTTATTAGTTTGAAATAACCCTAATTATATTATTACATATCACCATTATATTTTCTTTATAAACTTAAAAACATGTATAAACATTACACAATAAGTGTGGATAATTAATTGTATATAGATAAATTCTAAGTTAACTATAGACTATTAATTTTATTAAGTTGCCCTTGATGTTATATCATCTACAAATTTAAATAATAAAAGAATATACTTTAAATTTGTATTATTATTCAACTTTTCAATTATATATCTGATCTAAGTATATCATGATAATCTGAATTAAAATATTAAATATTAAACTTTAAAGATAAAAAAGAATGTATAAAATTACTTGTTTGTAGGAAAAATATTAGGGACAAATGAATCCCCTATTTAACTCTATTGATTCCTAAAATTTATAACTATAACTCAACCTTATTTTTTTATTGACTATATCATGTAACAACCATATCAACCATATTTTTCCTATTTTATTGATTGACTAGTTCCTAAATTTTATAACATCACTTTTTCTTTTAAAAAAAATAAAAATAAAAATATGCTATTGTTCACTCTATCTCTATATTGCCCTATAAATACTCTTCATATTCATTCAACTTTTTATCAGTTTCTATTTTCTCTAAATTAGATTTAAAAAGTGGAAGAATGGTGATTTTAAAGAATCTATCTCTTTGCGTTCTTTTATTTATGTCTTTTCTTTTATTTTTTGAGGTTAATGCGTCTCATGAAATAAACCGAAAGCTACAGTCTGTTAGTAATAATGTGGTAAAAAGAATCTTGAGGCCTAAATTTCACTTTAGGCCCGCTAAGCACTGGATTAATGGTATATCTTTTTCTCTAATCCTTTCCGCTATATAATATATATGGATTATAGTATAATTCATATTTATGTTCATATATATTCATATATATATATATATATATTCATATATAGGGTCTAATATATAATGTTTGAGTTCATGTAAAATATAAATCAAAGGAACCTTATTATTTTACTTGTCTTTTTCTTCTTCTTTCATTCTAGTGTATTCTAATGTATTCATGAAACACAAATTTTCTGAAGTATTATATTATTAATTTACAATATTTTAAATGTGTTCACTTATTTGAAAGAGATAATTCAATATGTAAATTTAATAGTTTAAGACTTCAAATTATTTGGGAGAGACAGTTCAATAGGTAAATTTAATAGTTTAAGACTTTTCAAATTTAATATTTATTAAAATTTTAATAATTTGACCCACACAGATGTGAAAAAATTACTAAAATTTTGATGATTAAACTCGGAAAAAATAGTAATTTTGATAATTGAACTCTGAAAAAATAAAATAACATGTATGTGTGCTTTTAGCTGCTTTTTCAAATTTGATTGTCCTTTGTCTTTTTATTTAATTATTTCATTATAGTTATTTTCACATAATAAGGCGATCCTTATTCGTATAAATATAATTTAATACTTGTATATGATCTTTATTCATGTTGATTCTAATAAAATATGAGTAGATGTGCGGTAACAACATGATTATCACAAACGATAGTTAAATAATTATTCTCTTTTAATCTTGATAAAAATTAGTATTATTTAACATAATTGCTGTAAACAAGTTTTTACCTGATATAATATATATGCAACTAACTGTGCTTTGTAATCTTTTTTTTCAATTGCAATGAAATGTTTTTTACTAATCATTTTAATTTAATTCCTTCTTATGTGGTGGTCTTGGCCTGATGTTCCGAACAACAACATTAGATCCCACCGGTAAGATCGAGTTTTATATTTATTAGTTTTCACTATATTTTTAGCTAAAATCTCGATTTATTTATAATTATCTTTTTAAAAAATAGGTCCAATGTATTACAATGGAATTTATCATCTATTTTACCAGTACAATACAAAAGGAGAAGTATGGGGCAATATTGTTTGGGCTCATTCAGTATCAGTTGACATGGTTAACTGGATCAATTTAGAGCATGCAATTTATCCATCTGAGGTGTTTGATAAATATGGTACTTGGTCTGGATCGACCACTATTCTTCCGGGGAATAAACCTGTTATTCTCTACACAGGAATTGTGGACGATAACCAAACTCAAGTGCAAAATTATGCAATACCAGCTAACTTGTCTGATCCATTTCTACGTAAGTGGATCAAACCCGATAACAACCCGTTAGTAGTCGCTGACGAAAGCATCAACAAGACCAAATTTCGTGACCCAACTACAGCTTGGTTAGGTCAAGATGGGAGTTGGAGAATGTTGGTTGGTAGCCTTAGAAAAAACAAGAGAGGATTAGCAATACTGTATCGGAGCAAGGACTTTGTGAAATGGACCAAAGCCCCACACCCATTCCATTCATCTGTTAATACTGGAAACTGGGAATGTGTTGATTTTTTTCCAGTATCGTTGGAGAAAACAGATGGTTTGGACACATCCGCTATTGGCGACAAAATCAAACACGTTATGAAAGCCAGTCTGGATGATAACAGATGGGACTATTACACAATTGGTACTTATGACAGGAAAAGAGATAGATACATTCCAGATGATGCAATGATCGAAGGGTCACATGGATTGAGACTGGATTATGGCAATTTTTATGCATCTAAGACCTTTTATGATCCTAGCAAGAATCGAAGAGTTTTAATGGGATGGTGCAATGAATCAGATGTTTTCCCAACAGATGACATCTTCAAAGGATGGTCTGGAATTCAGGCTATTCCTCGTAAATTATGGATTGATCCTAGTGGTAAACATTTAGTCCAATGGCCTATTGAAGAATTAGAGACCTTGAGAAAGAAAAAGGTTGAGCTAAGAAATCATAAATTGAACAAGGGAGAAAATGTAGAAGTTGAAGGGATTACACCTGCCCAGGTTAGACCATATATATATATAATTTGTGATCCTTACCAGAAATTGCAACAACGCAATGTGTTTGATGATTTGAATTAATTTTTTGTTACAAGACCAATTTATAGCTAATTTATGAGTGTTAATATAATGACAGGCTGATGTGGAAGTTACATTTTCCTTTTCAAGTTTGGAAAATGCAGAAGAATTTGATCCTAGTTGGGCTGATCTTTATGCTGAAGATGTATGTGCCATTAGGGGTTCAACAGTTCAAGGTGGACTTGGTCCATTTGGACTACTAACATTGTCTTCTGAAAACTTGGAAGAGTATACACCAGTATTCTTCAGAGTGTTCAAAGATCAAGACAAACACAAGGTTCTCATGTGCTCTGATGCCTCGAGGTTTGTCTAATGATCACACTTTTCTTATTAGCAAGCATCTCTCACCTTAAACTAGAGAGATCTCGGATTTAAACTTTCAAAATGAAAAAAATACTTATAAAAAGCGCTCCTCCTATTAAATGAGTCTAATGCAATGCAAATGAGTTTCGGATATCAAATAATTATAAACATAAAAAAAAAAATTGTTATCTTTATGCTTTCGCATTTGGCTAACCTTATAATTCTATCTTTTTTGCAATAGGTCAAGCGTTAGGAATCACAAAAAGATGTTCAAACCCTCATTTGCTGGGTATGTCAATGTTGATCTTACAGACAAAAAGTTGTCACTAAGGAGCTTGGTAAGCTTTTTCTTTGGTACTTTTTTCCTATAAAATGCACTTAAAAACTTATATTTCAAGTCATTTTTCAATTTCGTCGCATTGACAAGTAGTTTAATTTTTTTTTCTTTTTTCAGATCGATCATTCTGTGGTCGCAAGTTTTGGTGCTGGTGGAAAGACATGTATTACATCACGAGTTTATCCAGCTTTGTCCATCTATGGTGACACACATTTATTTGCTTTCAACAATGGTACTGAGACAGTCAAAATCGACACTCTTGATGCCTGGAGCATGGATAAAGCCGATATGTAAAATTAAAAAAATCCTAAGAGAAAAGAAGAAAACATAATTCCGTTCATTTTAATTCCTCTTTTTTACATGTTAAGCATTTTTTTTAATTGAGCTTGTACAGATTTCACTAAGTCATGAAATAAAATATTCTTCTTTTCCTATTTAATCGAATCGATGACGCATTTGATATATATTGTAATTATCTATCGAGTTTTTATTTCATATCAAAATATATATACGAGGCACAAACTCTTTTTTGATGTATCTGACCATATGAAACTCTTAGTATTACGACGCTATACTAATTTTAATAAGTCACCGTTGATGTGATTTCATCTTCAAATTTAAATGGTTAGAAAAAATATTTTAAATTTGTGTTATTTGATATATAAATATTGCATTCAACTTTTTAATCACACGTGATCTTATATCTCATGTAAATCCCATTTTAAAGAAATAAATGAAAAAAATACATTGTTTAATCACAATTGTAGGAGACAATTCAAATTATTAATTTGTTGGTGGACTATATTTCAATTGTTCCTAAAATTTATAACAACATTCTCAACATTATTTTGTTTGATTGACTATATGGTGTTTGTTCCTAAATTTTGTAACAACAATCCTACAACTTTATTTTTTTCATATAATTTAGATTGATAATATTTCTAGTTGTTCCTATATTCATTCTAACAACTCTATTTCCACTTTTCTTTTAAAAAAAAAAAAGAGGTTAAAACTATTTTCAAATCAGGATTATGTAAACTTGAAATTGTTAAAACTAGGATATAAAATTTTCCGTGACTGTTACTACATAGTAAAAAAAGAAAATATTACATTTGTAAAATTGAATATAGAGTTATAAATATATAACTAAAGGAATCAAATTAATTTTGCATGATGTAAATATTTTAAAATACATATATCTCAATAAATTCTTGATAATTCCAAATTCAATTTAATGTATAGAGCTTTTTAATTTGCATTTTTTATATTTATCTCAACTTCCCATGTTATGGTAAATTAGTATAATTGTATTATCTTATAAAATACATTGATTGGCCGTGTAAATCAAAAGGAGAAAAATTAGCGAAATAATTTTTTTTCAAAACAGATAAACTAAAATTAGCTTTTAGTTCCTAAATTTTATGTATAACAATATCAACTTTGTTTTCATTATTCCTTTGAGTATATCTTTTTAAATTTTATGATAATAATCTCTTACTTATTTTTTGGGTATTCTGTTAGGTTTCTATCTCTATTTTTTTTTCTTATAAATTCTTTTCACATTTTTTCAACTTTCTTCATCAATTTTTTCTCAATCAAAGTTAGAGTAAAAAGGAATAACTTTTTTCTTTCTAAATGGAATTCTTAAGAAAGAGTAGTCTTTGTGCCTTTTTATTTATGTTATTTTTTTGTAGTAACGAAGCTAATTCGTCACATGAAGAATTTAGGAGGTTACAATCATCGAGTTCTAAATTACTTAAAAACTTATTTAGAACGGAATATCACTTTCAGCCTCCTAAACACTGGATTAATGGTATGTACACTCTCTAACAAGCCAATGATTTTATATATTTTAGTTTGTGTTTCAAATTGATATTTGTTTTGTATTATTTTATGTTAGGATAATTGAATATATTCATATTCAATTTCACAATATTCCCCTGATATTCACATTTGTTGAAAAAAATATTTATTACTTTACCACAATATACCATATGTATGTATTTAATATTTGTATAGTATCATTATTCATGCTACACTAATAAATAGATGATGACATATTCCTAACAAACATAGTTATCATGAAAAAAGAGTTAAACACTATTCATCTTATTTATCACTTAATTGTGATAAAAAACAATATAATTTGATATATATTATCGTTGCAAATAAGTTTTTATCTTATCTTAAATAATTATGAACATAATGTATGTGCAACTTTGTGATTAGTTAGAGATTTGATTCTGATTTTTTTTAAATATATTTATTTTGTGTCCTTACGTAATATTCTATTTCTTTTCTTATATTAGAACTTCTTTCAATTGCATTGAAATGTCTTTACTAATCATTTTTTATTTAATTCCATGTAATTGGATGATCTTGGCCGAATAACAATATTAGATCCCACGGGTAAGATCGAGTTCTATATTTCTAACTCTTTCATTATAATTTAGTAAAAATCTCGATTTATTTATATTAATTTGATTTTTTTTAATAGGTCTAATGAATTACAATGGAATCTATCACCTATTTTACCAGTACAATCCAAAAGGAGCAGTATGGGGAAATATTGTTTGGGCTCATTCAGTATCCATTGACATGATTAATTGGATCAATTTAGAGCCAGCAATTTATCCATCTGAGGTGTTTGATAAATATGGTACTTGGTCTGGATCAACCACTATTCTTCCAGGGAATAAACCTGTTATTCTCTACACAGGAATTGTGGACGATAAACAAACTCAAGTACAAAACTATGCAATACCGGCTAACTTATCTGATCCATTTCTTCGTAAGTGGATCAAGCCCGATAACAACCCGTTAATAGTAGCTGATGAAAGTATCAACAAGACCAAATTTCGTGACCCAACTACAGCTTGGTTAGGTCAAGATGGGCGTTGGAGAATGGTTGTTGGTAGCCTTAGGAAAAACGAGAGAGGATTAGCGATAATGTATCGGAGCAAGGACTTCATGAAATGGACCAAAGCCCAACACCCACTCCATTCATCTGCTAAGACTGGAAACTGGGAATGTGTTGATTTTTTTCCCGTATCGTTGGAGAATACAGATGGTTTGGACACATCTTTTAAAGGCGACAAAATTAAACACGTTCTGAAAGTTAGTCTGGATGTTACTAGATTTGACTATTACACAATTGGTACCTATGACACGAAAAGAGATAGATACATTCCAGACGATACAATGATTGATGGATGGCATGGTTTGAGATTGGATTATGGTAATTTTTATGCATCACGGACCTTTTATGATCCTATGAAGAATCGAAGAGTTTTGTGGGGATGGACAAATGAATCAGATGTTTTTCCAGAAGATTCCATCAAGAAGGGATGGTCTGGGATTCAGGCTATTCCTCGTAAATTATGGATTGATCCTAGTGGTAAACATTTGGTTCAATGGCCTATTGAAGAATTAGAAATGTTAAGAAAGGAAAAGGTTGAGCTAAGAAATTATGAGTTAAACAAGGGAGAAAATGTGGAAGTTCAAGGAATTACACCTGCACAGGTTTGATATTTTTATTATTTTTTGGTTTACAAGAATAAATATCATTTTGTATGAATTATTATGACCTGGATTTACAATAATGTAAGATGTTTTATGATCTGGAGTTGGTTTTTATGTTTCAATTATTATGACAAGACAAATATAGAGCTAATATGTGAGTTCTAATACGATGACAGGTTGATGTTGAAGTTACATTTTCCTTTTCAAGCTTGGAAAATGCAGAAGAATTTGATCCTAGTTGGGCTGATCTTTATGCCCAAGATGTATGTGCCATTAGGGGTTCGACAGTTCAAGGTGGACTTGGTCCATTTGGACTACTAACACTGGCTTCTGAAAACTTGGAAGAGTATACACCCGTATTCTTCAGAGTGTTTAAGAACCAAGATAAATACAAGGTTCTCATGTGTTCTGATGCCTCAAGGTTTGTCTTTTAATCACTTTTTTTATCACCGAGTATTAGATCTTATGTGATGCAAATTTAAACTAGTTGGGCCAATGATATCAAATAATTTTAAACTTAAAAGTGTTGTTATTTTTATGCTTTTTGCAATTGGATAACAATGCCATTTGTTTTTATTTCAATTTTGATAGGTCAAGCGTTAGAAATCATGAAAAGATGTATAAACCATCTTTTGCTGGATATGTTGAAACAAATCTAACCGACAAAAGGTTATCGCTGCGGAGTCTGGTAAGCTACTTCTTTTCTTTTCGTATCAAATCCACTCAAACTCATTTTTCTTTTTTTGTTGCGTTGATAATTATTTGATTTTTTTTTCAGATTGACCATTCCGTGGTTGAAAGTTTTGGTGACGGTGGAAAGACATGCATTACATCAAGGGTCTATCCAGCATTAGCCATCTATGGGGACACACATTTGTTTGCTTTCAATAATGGTACTGAGCCAGTCAAAATTGAGACTCTTGACGCCTGGAACATGGCTAAATCCGAGAAATGGATTTAGAACATAGTACTTTTAGTTTTTCTCTCTCTTTCTGTGTTGGCCTTTTTTTTGGATGAGAACTTATACAAGTTTTCTATTTCTAGTAAACCATGATTAAAATGCAATTATCTAACTATGGAGTTCTTATTTCATTTCAAAGTACACAAATGTTTACTTATTCCTTGTGTATATACATGTATGAACTTAGACAAATATCGAACTTATTTGCAGCAACATTTAAATAAGGGAAAGTTTTCATCTTCAACCTTTTTTCTATGATATGCAACTTATAAGTGATGTGTGAAATTCATCCACACTTTAATATATGTAAAGATTCTAAATAAATGTCCGTTCTAGATTCAACACACTTTCACTATAGTGTCCGAGTAGATACTATTTACTTCCTCTCGAACCATAGTACTATGATAAGAGGAACTAAGCAGCCTCGCACAATTCAACATCAAATACATACAACATACTCCAGTTCACACATAAATAGACCTTATAGTCTAGCATTTTTATCGACATACAAATAAAGTTTATCATAAAAATGAAAAACACCAAAATACATGAGGTTTTTATGTTGCGCTGCAGCAGTTGACACAAGTAGTATAGTGGTTTCCCAATGTGTGACAAATGATAATTGCGTGGACCCAAATGGGTTGCCTGTGTTTGACAAGAACTTTGCTAACCCACATATTCCACTTTTCAAACATAGGCAACCTTGCACAAGTTTTAAGTTGTGTGAGGCATTTTGATTCGCACAAACTCGATTTGTCATAACATAAAGAGACACACATAACTTGTGTCAGTTGTGTGAGGTACAAAAGTATTTTTTTTCTCGATCTGCATCAACTGGATATTCCAAAGTAGCCCAGAGTCCCCCTTCCTATTGCACAACATTCATTTTGCTCACTTTTCCAGACTTCGGTGAACAATTCACCATTTACTTGAACAGTCTTTCCCCATAGTCGACCATAAAGACAACAACAACATTGTCCATACTTATACTTGCCTTTGACCCTCCCTATATCACATATTTCTAAGAGCACTCTAGGTAAATCGGATCTGCTATATTTTTAATAATCAACAGGAACTCACAACTGCAATATCGGTTCCTAGCATAGAGCTTGGACAGAGATGCAAATAGGCTGAATACCATCCATTTGCGAGACGAACCAATGTGAAGACTCCTCAACCATGAGTAAATCATCGATTCAGTTATGCATCAACTCCTAGTTTTCTTCTGAGAAATTCAGCAAATTTGAGGAGTCACATTTTTGCAAATGAGATGATAAATATGATCAAAGCATTAAAATGATCTAGCAACCAGAACTAATGGGCTATCAAATTGATATCCGCCAACACCAACAACCAAAAAGGGGAAAAAATTGGAGGGGGGGGGGGGGTTATTATATGGGGAAAACATTATTCCATTACAATGGCTCCATTTATTCCATGTGTTTGACCCAACACGAAGTTTACGAAAGAAACAAATACTTTCAAAATGTGTGATCTTAAACATGTCCAGTTGAGGAGCGAGTTTTGTTTCTTTTCCTTTGAGCTGTTCAGAAACACTTTTGGTAATAAAATGTAGTTAGTTACAACCAAAAAAAAAAGAAGTCAATAATTTTCAACCATAGAATGTTTCGTTCTTTTTGGAACATACTATTAGGGAAATAGTGTCAAACAAATTTGGAATGGAGGTGTACTTGATATCCACTTAGATTATGCATCATGGAAAAACAAAGTTGATAATCTGGAAAAGCCACTCCTACGACATTATGTTGCATTCTTTCCATCCCAACTCAGGTAAACAGGCATTTGCTTTTTCCTGAAAAATAACAATTCAAATTGCATAGAAAGAGTAGAAAGGCTTAGTAGTTTACACTTGATGAAGTTCTTAAGTCTTTTCCTTCTCATGTCATTTTCATCAACCGGGTGGACTGTCAAGTTAAATTCCCGCAAGGGGTGATATTCTACTGAAGCCAGTTTTTCCTTTGCTGTCTGCATCCTTTTTTTTTCAACACTCTGCAATAATATAAAGGAAAAGATCATAATGCAGTTCATAAATTACTAGATGAATGCCTCATTATTCTCCACAAAACAGATGTGAACTTACAAGGGCCTTCTCTAACCCTTGAATTTGTTGTTTGCATAGCTTGAGCTCCATCTCAATGGCATGGATACGGTTATCAATAGGTACATTGCACTGCTCAACCATCTGCTTCTGCTTACCCCGGACAATCTCTGGCTGCCAAACATTTAGTGCAACTTTGGCTTGACTGATAGCAAATCAATTGCACAGTCAAACATCAGCCGCATCATTTTACATTATCTTTGACTAACAAAGAATAACTAGCAACTTATACAACAACCAAGCAAACAATACTACACCAACTCAAATACCAAAGGCAAGCAATCTGTTGTTTGTGAAAGCCAGACCCCAACCCCCATATAGTAGGTAAATGTGAAGAAACAAAAACAACAGATAACATTATAAGAGTAGACTTCTGTCCTTCACTACCTGATCTTACGCAAATTCAACATCTCGGCAACAGTGTTCTTCATTTTCCCTTTCTCCTCTGCAGATCGAAGTTCCATCTCTCCAATCCTCCTAGAATGCTCATTAATTTCACTCTGAATTCTCAAAACAGCCCTTCTATGGGCCAAAAGCTTCTGTTCTCGAACTTTTTCGTATCTAGTTGATATTAGCAACCAATCAGTTCTCCCATAAGATTTACCAGAGAAGATAATGTGACAACCCCCTCGGGATCCACATATTCAGGTATAGTCTCTGCCATGGGCGGCCATTCGCTCTTTTAATCCCCTCTTATTGGCATGCAGCCTCAAGGGAGAATCGAACCCGTGACCTATGGCTCCTTTACATCCCTCCCAAGGAGATCGCCTTTCACCAATTAAGCTGCAGCTCCTTGAGGCTGCATGCCAATAAGAGGGGATTAAAAGAGCGAATGGCCGCCCATGGCAGAGACAATACCTGAATATGTGGATCCCGAGGGGGTTGTCACAGATAATATTAAAAAGAAGGCAAGATGATATGGCTAAAGCTAAAATGCCATGAAATTTAAGAACAAAAGACATAAATACAAGAGTGATATCTTCTGACCATCAGTATATTAGAATATAACACACATACTCAACAACAACATACCCGTGTAATCCCACAAGCGATGTCAGGGTAGGGCAGTGTGTATGCACCACTACCTCTGCCTTATGGAGGTAGAGAGATTGTTTCCGAAATATCACATACATATTATTTGCAAATAATGAGATAGCATTTGCAAATCAATGTTTGTTTTCTCAATTTTTTCTATTACAATTTCAACTTGAAATAGAGAATTTGAAGTCACAAACTGGTTTGACGAATATTTAAATGAAATTTAATGGCTTGCACACTCACAAAACTTCAAGTATTTTACAAGTAAATTCTGAACACTAATGAACAAGTAATTGTTTTTTCAAATTCAACAAAATACAGTGTTGTTTCAAGTTAAAATCAATTATTTGGATGTTTTCGAACATCTTCCCAAAAGCTGAGTGCTTTGTTAGGTTCATGTTGTATCCACCTTGACAGAATTGAAAAAGTTCCAGCCTTTACTAATTAAAAGGTCCCCCAAGCAACAAATCGACTATCATTTGAACTGCTAGAAACTAAGTAGACTACTTCCTGCTGAGGCATAACACATAAATGTGAATCTATCACCTCCAACTTTAAATATACACAAGTAAACATCATGTAATTCACAAACTGCAACGTAAAGACGCCACACAGGATAGGATGCATGTGTCTACTTATTCAACTTCTGAATACCTCAAGTATCTACTTATACACGCCCAAAGTTGAATGACATATATGTCAATTGAGGCTAAGTTAAAACGACAATTATATATTATGCCTTGGGCAGAAGATACCATATCCTTGTTGCTATTTTTTTTTTGTAACTGTGGTTTCCGGGCCCAGCTCGCAGGCAACTAGACTAATTAGATTGTATCTTCTTCATCAACTAACTGTGAACCTAAGAATTTATATGATGCAAATACACTAAAACAACATAGACATATACAAAAAAAGAAATTTTGACATGAGTGCGTGCATAAATACCTAATTTTGTAGAGCCATTTGCTGGAAACAGAACATGAAGATGAAGGTTGTTGATATTGGGGAAAATCGGCGAAGAACAACGAGGACCAGAGAGAATCATCGGAGGAGAGTCGATTGAGGAGGGTGCAAGTTATGGAGAGACAACAAAGATCTTTGTAGTTGAAGTTGGAGGATTCAATTCCGATTTCAAGGATTCGCCTCCATAGCTCCTCCGGCAGAGCTGAATCCGACGCCGACATGTTCAGCAAACCCGGCCCGGTTATGTTTGATGTTCAATTTTAGAAGGGGGAGACAATTTATCACATAAAACATAAACTATATTATAAAACCTCACTAAATTAATATTGTCAAAATTATGAAAAATAATTATTTTGTGGAGGTATGTGCTTTCATTTTGAGAAGTCATGACTTTGCGAAAACAAATAATATTTGTGAACTCATGGTCATGCTTAATAATTTCAATTATTTAAATATTTGCTATGATTATTTTTCACTATTCTTGAGACTATTTCCTTAGCCATAGAAATGGGAATTCATTCATGTGCAACTCCAATTTTCAAAAGGTGGTGACTATGAACAACTCAAATTAGTCCTATCATCAATTCGTTGAACATAAGAGTTGATCCGACTCATAGAAAAGTTGATTTATGAAATGGTCACTCAATTTATAGAAGAATTTGATTTATCATTTGACTATTATTTCGAGTTGATTTTTTTTTGATATAACAATTATTAATTGAGTGACCGATATGTGCAAGAATAATATGGTCATAGCAATCAAAGTAAAGAAAATTTATGTTTTCAGGTTAGAAGGTAAAGTAGCAGTGATCACAGGAGGTGCTAGTGGAATTGGAGAGGCTGCAACTCGGCTTTTCACAAAACATGGCGCGAAGGTTGTGGTAGCAGATGTTCGAGATGACTTAGGTTCGTGTGATCATTTCATCTAAAAGTTGTCTTTCATCACTAAAAAGCCGTTTTCATCATGTGATCATTACATATTAATTACGTAACTATATTATATCTGATCAACAGGTCAAGCCCTGTGCAAAGAACTAGGCTCAAACAACACCATCTCCTTCACACATTGCGATGTCACAAATGAAAACGACATGGAAAACGCGATAAACAGAGCAGTTTCGAGGTATGGAAAGCTAGACATCATGTTCAGCAATGCAGGTATAACAGGAAACATTAAGGATCCAAGTATTTTAGCCACAGATTATAACAACTTCAAGAATGTGTTCGATGTGAATGTTTACGGGGCACTTTTAGGAGCTAAAATTGCAGCCAAAACAATGATACCAACAAAAAAAGGTAGCATTTTATTCACATCTAGTGTTGCTTCTGTAATTGGTGGGATTGCTTCACGCGTCGTCAAAACATGCTGTAGTTGGACTAACAAATCATCTAGCCGTTGAATTGGGAAAATATGGAATCAGAGTAAATCGTATTTCTCCATATACAGTTGCTACACCACTTGTTAGGGAAATTTTGGGGAAAATGGATAAGGAAAAGCAGAGGAAATTATTATGGAAACTGCTAATCTTAAAGGGAGAATATTAGAACCAGAGGATATTGCTGAGGCTGCTGTTTATTTGGGAAGTGATGAATCTAAGTATGTGAGTGGTGTTAATTTGGTGATTGATGGAGGGTATAGTAAAACTAATCCATTTGCCTCAATTGTTATGCAAAACTATATTTAATTTCTAGAAGAAATTGAAGGATGACTAGTACTCTCTCGAAGAATCTTAGTCGCTCGGTTGGTTGACTATCTAAACTTTCCCTTACTAGTGCAGAAGGATTGCTACTCTTGTAGTTAAATTTATTGTTGTTTGCTTGTTTAATTTGTTGTTTTGAGTTTGTATGTAAGTGTGTTCTTGTATACTATTACTGCAGAAAATTTTCACTTGTTTGTTCTTTTTGGCACAACTGATTAGTAATCAGACCATTTAGTTCAATCCTAGTTTGCATTTTGAACATACAGTCAAACCTTTCTATAAAGACGTCATTTGTTCTGATATTTCTTTAGTAGTTATAGCGAAATGTTATTAATAGAGAACATATAATTCAACATAACATGAAAAATCAGTTACAAAAAAAATTTGATCGTTATAGTGAAATGTTATCATAAAAGATAACTCATCTGTTTCTTCTGTAAAATATGACATTAAGTCAGAAATTCACAAAGTGAGAAGGACAGGAAGAATTACACGAAATAAACATAAAACCTTTTGTGAAACGCGATTTATAAGTAACATTTGTGTGTTGTTATTTATTGTTTAATTTACTATATTACCCCTTTTATTTAATTTTATTTATTCATTATTTCTAAAATATATTTATTTATTTAATTTATTACTTTTATAATATGAAGAAAAGATAAATATTTTATCTTTTATAGAAACGTCATGTCCTAAAAAATTGAAAAAACTCTTTTTAGATACCTAAATAGAAAGAACTGAGAATGAAATGCATAAATCGCATTCAACAAATGCGTTTTATGATGAGTAAATTCTATGTCTTTTTATTTATAATTGAAATTGCTATATTATCCTTCCGTTTAATTTTGTTTGTCCATTGTTTTTAATTTTTGTATTTATTTAATTATTAATTTTATTATTAAGAAAAGATAAATATATTATCTTTTAAAAAAAGGTCTTGTCCTTAAAAACTTGAAAAAACTCTTCTTAGATAGCTAAAGAAAGAACTAAGGATAAAACGTCTTCAACAAATGCGTTTTATGAGTAAATTTTGTGTCTTCTTATTTATAGTAGAAATTACTATAATATCCTTCCGTTTAATTTTATTTGTTCACCATTTTGGAAAAAAATATTTATTTATTTTATTTATTACTTTTAAAATATATATATAAAAAAAAGATAATTGACACATCAAATGATAAAATCATACAATGATCATGCACTTTTTTTACTTCTCATAGCTAGAAATTCTGAAATTTCTAATTTTGATTTTTTTTCTATTACATTGTAGAATTAGGGAACGGGAATGAGATAGTAAAAATCGAACTCACACTTAGCGTATGGAAGACCTCTTACCTGTACCACTAGACTGTAAGCCTTGATGTACAAAATCTGTTTTTTTTTCTTCTTTTAACTCTTTTTATTACATTTGAGGATCGGGAGACAGTAAAAATCGAACTCACACTCAGTGTATAGAAGACTTTCACTGATAATACTAGACTGTAAGCCTTGACAATAGAAAATCTGAACTTCGATCTTGTTACTATACATGATTTGTTTTGCGAAAAGAAGCCAATATAGGGACAATACAACAACTAAATTATCTTATCCCTTTCACCAATATTCCAAATCTTTTACTATGAGAATAAATTAAAGAATGAGAGACAGTAGAGACAAGTCCCTTTTTGTTGGTTGACACTATTTTGGTTCCACATTTGTTGGAAGAGTGTATCCACCACTGTAATCAAAAGCATGAGTATCATTCATCTCTTTTCTCTGTAGAGCCTCTTTATTATAAGGATGTCTAGAAGCAGCTATTGCTGTCCCAAAATCCGTTATCGATGATGATGCAGACGTAGAATTTGTTTCCAGACCATCATTTTGAAGAATACTTTCAAGCATTTTTACCACTTCACTCATCGTTGGACGGTCAGCAGCAGCCTCCTCAACACATTGCATCGCCACGTCCACAAACCTTGTAAAACCAATTAGATTTGGCATGTTTCTAATGACTGGATCGATCATATTAGTCAAGCCATAATGCTCCTCGTCGTTCTTATGAATTGCTGTTCTCATCTCTCGAACAACGTATTTCCCCTTCTCTATTGGTTGTTTTGCAGTTATGAGTTCAAGCATTACAACACCAAAGCTATACACATCGCTCTTCTCGGTTAGTTGTTGAGTCATATAGTATTCAGGATCTAGATAACCCTGCAATGTAATCAATAGGTCTTAAATTCAATGTTTTTCTTGAAATGGAAAGCGAAAATGTGCAGGATGTGGTACTGACCAATGTGCCTTTAACTTGAGTGGAAACATGACCCTTTGAGCTGTCTGATACGAGTTTGGACAAACCAAAATCCCCGACCTTTGCTGTTAAGTTCTGATCCAACAAAATATTAGTCGACTTCACATCTCTATGAATTATAGGAGGATTGGCAAGCTCATGCAGATAAGCTAATCCTCTAGCTGAACCAAGCGCTACACGAAGTCTCCTCTTCCAATCTAGATAAATGCTCGTTTTCCCTGTAGAGCATAGTGGAAATTAACTTCTAAAGCGAAATGGAAATGTTAGGAACTTTTTAGTGTAAATTACTGTAAACAGGAAGTAGTCTTTAATGTATAGGAGGATGTAACTTACCTGACAAATTCTCCCTGAGTGAACCATTTGGCATATACTCATATACCAGTACTTGTTCGCCTTGCTCAAAACAGAATCCAACCAGACCAACTAGGTTCTTGTGATGAACCCGTGAAAGCAATTCAATTTCCGTCTTGAACTCTTGTCCACCTTGCATGGATCCATGTTGAGCCCTTTTGATAGCAATTACTTGCCCATTCGCGAGCATTCCTCTGTAGACCTAGGAAACAGAACAGACGTGAATAAGCAAAGTAACTAAGAGTTTATCCCTTTATTCTGTATTTACTGTGGATGTTGGTAGCAAACCTTCCCGTAGCCACCAGAACCAATCTCATTTCTCTCCGAGAAGTTTCCTGTGTATTTCTTAAGTTCGTCATAAGAAAACCATCTGGCTCCCTTAAGTTGTGGTGCACCTTCACTGTCGTTGCCACTTGGAGCCCACGATGCTGGACAAAGAAGGTCAAAGAAATCAGACATTTTAGTTCAATCCTAGTTGAATTCTGGACATACAGTCGAACCTCTCTATAAAGATGTTGTTTGTTCTGATATTTCTTTGACTGCTATAGCGAAATGTTGTTATAGAGATCATATAATTCAACACAATATGAAAATCAGTTCCAAAGAAAACTTGGTCGTTATAGTGAAATGTTATCATAGAGGCTTGAATGTATATATAGTTATAACTCAATCGGTTTATATTTCTGTAATAGATTACATTACCAAATGGTCTACTCAGTCCAATAGCTCTTTCAGCAAGTTTCTTTTGTTGAATAGCATATATTGCAAGAGCAACGAGCAAGAGGACCAGGATGGTACACCCGGTAGCTATTCCTATAACCTGTCTTGAGCTTATAGAAGTTTCTCCGCGTTCAGCTGAGACAGTTATAGTTAAAGTCAGTATTTTGATCTAGAAGTTACAGTTGTAAACAAACTCAGTAATTATACCTTGGAAAGTGTAAGGAGATGCTATGAAATAGTATGGTCCAAACTCGTGA